GAATCACGTGCTATTGCTGGCAAGAAGGGTATGCATTCAGCCAAAGACCCTCCGGTGGTGCACATAACGGACCTGCTTACTGTTAGTAGTCTAATCTTCTTCTTAGCTTTTGGCTGTTGTCTTGTTCATGTAACTTATTGGTTCTTATTATAATGGCTCATCAGGCTTCTGCAAAAAAGGCGAAAGACTTCTTGCCATTTCTACAACGCAATAGGAGGATGACTGCAGTTGTCGAATATGTTCTTAGTGGTCATCGGTTTAAACTGTATATCCCAAAGGAAACATGCAGTATTGCTTTCTCATTCTCTGGTGTTAGATGTCCAGGCCGTGATGAACAGTATTCTGATGAGGCAATTGCACTTATGAGGCAGAAGATAATGCAGAGGGATGTTGAGGTATTGCAGTCCTCACGTCATGCTTCTTTCCTTTTGTATTTTTTCATGCCTTGCTGATTAATCTATTCTTGTTACTCTCAGATTGAAGTAGAAACTGTTGATAGAACTGGAACTTTCTTGGGAACGTTGTGGGAGGCCAGAACCAACGTGGCAGTCGCACTTTTAGAAGCAGGATTGGCAAAGCTTCAAACTTCTTTTGGCACTGACAGGATCCCTGACTCTCACCTTTTGGTCCAGGCTGAGCAGTCAGCAAAAATGAAGAAGTTGAAGGTGAGTAACTTGACTTTTTCTTTTAATGATTGTTGTTACTCAACGGGCTGCTAATTTGTATTTTATTGTAGATCTGGGAGAACTACGTTGAAGGAGAAGAAGTTTTTAACGGTTCATCCGTAGAAAGATGTCAAAAAGAAGAGCTTAAGGTGCTGCATAATATGCATTTGCAATTGCACTTCTGGGATTGTATTTGATGCTTTTTTAATGATATCTGATAATATATATTTATCTTAAGGTGGTGGTCACCGAAGTCTTGGGAGGTGGTCAGTTTTATGTCCAGTCAGTTGCTGATCAGAAAATGGCCTCCATTCAGAAGCAGCTTGCTTCCATAAACCTTCAAGAAGCTCCTGTACTTGGTGCCTTCAATCCGAAAAAGGGTGATATTGTTCTTGCTCAGTTTAGTGCCGATAATTCTTGGAACCGTGCAATGGTATGCAACTTGAAATCCTCGCTTGTTTTTAATTCCAAGCTTGGTGTTTTTTTGTCCTGGGAAGTTTGTATCTGGGATTGAGAAACTACCCTCAGAAAGTCTCATATATGTTACCCTGAGCCCGGGTGGGTGGCGGGTGTTTGATGGAAGTGTGATAACTTAAATACAACTAAATATTAGAATATTCTATGGTTATGGTTAACATATTATCCAATTTAATAGGTAGTTTTTAGAATATTCTAAGACAATAGGTAACATTTTATCAAATTTGATAGGTATTTTTTAAACTCAATTTTATAGTCATTGGAAATGTAAAAATCTGGTAATTTGTTGCCTGAACTTGTGCACTGCCATGTTGTGGTTATTTGTTAATTTAGATCTCGTGATCTTTCATTCCCCTGCATATGGCACAAATCACCAGAACTGCTAAAATTATTCTGTAATTTATGCTTCAATTGTTTCAGTTTTCTCATTCAGTATCCGTTGAGACATGAAGATGCATCCTCTATTGTGTTAGTAATTAATCCTTATTGTTCATACTGCTAGGACAATCTTTTATGTAACATTTTAACATGTTCTTTTGTCTTCATTAGTTTCATTATTCAAATACATCTCTACTTTGTTAATCTTTCTAATGTACTCTTAAATCTTAATTGGAATCTGGAGATTGTAAATGCTCCTCGGGGAGTTGTGGAGTCTTCAGATGACAAATTTGAGGTGTTTTACATCGATTATGGAAACCAAGAAGCTGTTACTTTCAATCAGCTGCGTCCTATTGATCCTTCATTATTATCTGCCCCAGGCGTGGCTCAGCTGTGCAGTCTTGCATATGTTAAGGTTCCAACCGTGGAGGAGGATTATGGTCAAGAAGCAGCTTTTTGGCTGAGCGAACACTTGCTAAGTGGTCCAAAAGAATTCAGGGCCATAAGTGAAGAAAGGGACACATCAGGTGGCAAAGTTAAAGGACAAGGAACCGGGACCATATTCAAGGTGACTTTGATTGATCCAGAAGCTGATGTTAGCATAAATGCTACCATGCTGCAGGTTCGAACGTCTATTTCTTTGTTTTGATTTTTTTGTTAACTTTGCTCTTTAGATGAACATCTCAACTTCACAACTTCCTTGTCTCCTGCACTGTGACTAATTAGATCAACGTCCCAACTTCCTTTCAGTATTGTATATCCAAATAGATGGTCAACATATATGGCAAATTATTACCTGTAGAATAGGTGACCCAAGAAATTGACTATAGGTCTATATAATGGGGATAGTGGGTAGAACTAAGTTTGCCTGAACATATTCGTGGTCTCACTAGTTGGATTTGTTGATCCGTGGAGCTTAATTATATTCCAAATATTCCTTCAACAGCAGATTTATGGTATTCCATAGTTGCAGTAGGCTTCCCTAGTGCGAGTGTTCCTACTATATAAAGGAATTTCTTTTGTTTGCGTAATGGCTATCACGTTGATGGAACCATATTTCTTTGAACAGAGGGGATTATGGATTAATCTTTAACAGGATCAATTGTTTGTTAATATTATAATTTGCTTCTGTTTTTCGTGTAGTTACCTGTTTACATACGATCAAATATATAAAATTTTCAGGATGGACTTGCGAGGTTGGAGAAACGAAGGAGATGGGAGTCCAAGGATAGGCAGCTAGGTATGGATGAGTTGGAAAAATTCCAGACAGGAGCACGAGACAAGAGACTCGGCATGTGGGAATATGGTGATATTGAGTCGGATGATGAGGAGTCAGCACCACCTCTGAGGAAAGCTGCCGGAAAGCATTGAACACAAGCTTTCCTTGCCTGTATCAGTATCTGAGCAAATTCTACCTGCCAGAATTATATTCAATTTGCTGGAGTAACTTATAAAACTCGGGCCTAGAAGCAGAAAGATAAAATATAAAGAGGTGAGAGAACAATTTTGTTTTGAATTTTTAAATTTTTTTTTTTTTTTTAATAGGAACTCTTAATAATGCAACCTCCCGTCCGTAATGACATTGAGTAAATTTAAAATTTTAAATTTTTTACTATTTATTTGTCTTCCCCCCTGCTGGGAAATAGTTTTTGTTTGTTTGTTTGTTTATAGGGTGTTTTGTATGTTTTAAAGGATTCCTTCAAGACCAGGATATGCTTTGAATTGTTTAAAGAGATTCAAGAGGCATGTAATTCTAGTGCCTATTTTACTTCTTCTGAGGTTCAGTAGAGGAAATGTTCCCTAAATTATTCTTTACCAATTTTAGTTCTTCTCTCTTTTCGGATAGTCTTTTGATTTTCCTTCAAAAAATTTAGTTTAAGGAATCAAAAAATTGATCAATGTTAGATACACTGGATATGGTTATGTTTGTCTTCTTTAATCATGTCAAGTCATTCCATTTAGGATACTACCAAAGAAAGATATTCCTAAAATTTCAGTTTAAACATGGAAAAGAATTCAAAATTCTTTCTAGGATTTTATTGTAAGTTTGCTTATAAAATTTCAACTATTGATATGAGATGATGATACGTTTACCTTTTCTACAGTCACTTTTTTATAAAGTAAAAAGGGTTGACCTCAAAATTTTGCAAGATCGAATCAATTAATGGTTATTGGCCAATGTCTATCTTATCTGTCCTACTACAGGGGAATACTTCGATATTGGCAGCTTTAACATAAGGTGGCTAGCCACTGTTCTTCTCCAAAGCATTTTTAGAAGGTGGGTTGATATCAAGTAATTTATTGAAACAAGTCTCTAAAATCTGAACTTAAATGACAAGTAAAAAGGGAGCAAATTAAGCAAGAATTTGACTAAGGAATGAGTTTTAAAAGGTTTACGGCATTTTAGCCTTTTACCTTTATCAGATATGTGTCATCTTGTTAGTGCTAAGCTTTCAGTATAATCTAATGACGCGTGTTGCCTGCCCATCTGTGAGGATTTCTCCACAATATTTCATGTCCACTTCTCGCATGGCAAAGAAGATATATATATATATATATATATATATATATATATATATATTTATAACAAATTTTGAATGATAGTGGTCTGAGACTCTAATCTCCATGTGACAAAAAGAATATTTACATGTTCAAACTCCGTCTTGAAGAGGATAATGTATATCAAATACGTTTTTTTTCCTAGTCTCGTGGGTTCCTTGGACACTGCTTCTTCGATAACGTTGATAGATTTGCTAAAGGTATCGAGCCTCGTTCAATGGCGTCATGATTTGGGTGAAGCATAAACTTCTTGCTTGATGATTTCAAGCGAAGCAAGCAGTAAACAAAACATACGGAAGTGGAAAATATTAGTAAATTATCATCCCCAGGAATCGAAAATCAAAGGTAAAATAATTTGAATTTGTGTTGTCAGTATTCTCTACTTCTTGTAGCCTTGCCATAATGCCATAAAATGGTTGCCAGAAAACCTCTGGCAGTTTCACTTCGCAGTCTCGGAATGACTATTTTTCAAAGTTCCGCAAAATATAATGACATATTCAATTAAAAGTGGAATTATTTTTAGGCCTTTGTTTGAGTCCCATTCTTTAGAAAAAAATACATTTTTCAACAGTATTTTAACATCATTTCAATCACATATTCTTCAATAAAATAATATTACACGTACATCTAAAATTTTTCCTTATTTTTTAACCACACATTTCTCATCAATACACTATTCAAAAATTCAATCCCATCCCAAAAAATGGGGCTCAAACAAGTGCTTACATTAATTTGTATTTACGTAAAATCTCTTAAAAATATTCTCATCGTAGAAGCATTTTAACCATGGTCAAATATCCAACCCCAATGAGGTTAAAAATCGACTCGTCTCTTTGTCTCTAAATCATACCTTCCCCTGATCAAAACTAGCATAATAACAAAAGTAAAAGGTAAGACGAGCAACAGAGCGAGTAAATCGACTTGAAGCTCAAAAACAAAGTGCTCAAATTAGAAAACAATAGGCAGATCATAAGCTTCCAAAATTTCCTCGACCACGTAGAAAAACACCATAATCTCAGTAGATTGTCTAATATACATTGCCATTGTCTATAACATACCTAAACAAGCAAAAAATTGCATTCGGGTCAATAAGTAAAAATATTCCAGGATGGAAAAACATCTGCAAGTCCAAAACCTATTGAGTTTTTATCAATGGTGACCACAGATCATTTCTATTTAACTTCCAATTGGAAGTTCATTCCCTTAACTGTCACGCCTGGCGTTCCTCCTGCGAGGAGCAGCAGCACCATCCTCGTTTTGCTCTTCCTTCTCCTCAGTGCTAGCACCCTGGTCGTTTGAAGTCTCAGCAACATCAGGTTTCTTTGTCTCCACATGCGTTTGGGCCTGAATTAAGCAAAATATTACGTGACGAATGCATGGAAGATGTATATACCCAGAGTAAGTGTAAATCACATCGGGTACTAATGACTTACAGGCTGCTTCTTCCCACCAAAGATAACCTTCAATAGAAGAGAGAGAATGACAACTATAATGGAGACGAGGACTCCAATTGTCAGGTTTGCTTGTTTCTCAGCCTTCTCAATAAGCTCCTGCAAATCAAAGTCCAGGTTTTAGGCAATTGCATGTAACTCAAAAACACTTGTTCCCGAGAATACTGTTGTCCGATGACTTACCAAGACCTTAATCTTGTGATCACCCAACACAGGGATGTCCGCAATCTTGTAAAGGTAGTCAAATACCACTTTCTGCAATAAGTGGTAGTAGTTAATGTTTAAAATGGCAGAAAGCAAATTATGAAAAGCGCGCAAAGAATAGGGTTATCTAACTAGTTACCTGAATCCCTTTAAGACCATCTGAATCAGTAGATTCCTCCTCCTTTTGTTTCTCTTTCTCTACTTCAAATTTTGGCTTCCATGCAGTAGCCCGGTATGTTTCTGCAACTTTCTCATTAGAAGCTATCAAAATATTGTCGAACAATATGCCATCTTGCATTGTCCAGATCTCAATGCCAATGGCTGCAATGGGCTCAAAGTTTGGCTTCTCGAGCTCAAAGTAGTCAGGGTTTGGAATTTCCTGAGGCTTCCAAATACCCTTGTAATTAGGGTTGTCGATGAGGGGTGCATGCCATTTACCCTTGAAAGCAGGATTCCTTTTCATTGGCTTTTTCCACTCTCCACACCCAGGTGCCTCTTCACACTTGGGGTTATCGACTTTAGGAGCCTCCCATTCACCATCTTCCTCGTCATCCCAATCTTCTGGTTTCGTAGCCTCAGGATCATCAATCTCCTCGGGTTCATCATCAAGCCATCCCTCAGGTTTCACAGCATCTTCATCTTCAATCTCCATTGGAGCATCCTCATCCCAGTCATCTGGTTTCTTGGCATCTGGATCTGGGATTTTTGCTCTCTCATCCCAATCCTCAGGCTTCTTATCATCTGGGTCGGGAATGGTCTTAGAAGGGATGAGTGGCGGCTCAAAATCTTCAGATGAGAGGAAATTAGCCTTCTTCTTCTCCTCTCCATCAATCAAAATTTTCAGCTCATTATCTGATTTCAGGATGGCAGTATACACGTGGGTCAATTTGTCAGAAGGAACAGAGGGTGGATACTTGAGGTGGTGTTCAACAAACTCCCCACTCTTAGGGTTCTTGTGCTTCAAAATGAAGTGAACCTTGTTTGTAGCTCCACATTTATCAGGTCCAAACATTATGGAGTAGGGAGATTCGTTATCAAATCCCTCTGGAGTCCAGCCAGCATCCTGAAGACGAAGGTACTTGAGATAAGCACCACCACATTCAAGACCATTCTGGAGACGGACCTCATATTGAAGGACAACTGTCTCATCCTTGAGATTAATAGCTTCATCTAGTTTCTTTACAATTGCATGTTTCTTGGCCTTCTCACTCACAAGAAGCCCATAATCATCATGTCCCTCGCTCTTTGAGTGTTTCCACACGCCTGAGAAACATTTACACATCAGCATAAAGCATAATTATTGCATCATCAGCAATTAAACCATTAATTGTCAAAAAAAATACATCCAATTAATGCACAGCCGTGACGGCGTGACCGTAGGATGAATTACATGTAGATGTACTCAACATCCAAATACACAGCCTATCAAATAACTACAACCCATGCTAATGTATTCATGCAACACAACAATCCGGTCATTGATAAGAAATGCTGTTGTATAAGACCAGGTATACATTATATGGTACAGCAACAAGTAGAAGAATTTCAAGTGATCAACAATATTTTGCTTAGTATTAAGAATAACAGAGAAGTTTAATGAATAAACAGAGATTCAAACCATACAAAATCCAAAACCACTGGTTTTAGTACAAATGATTTGCTCATTTTGTACAAGTGAAGAATCCAGTGTCCCATTCCGATTATATAAAGTTACGACTATAAATTAAATTCTGGACTTTTTTGCAACAAAAATTGCAGAACCAAAAATGTGTTGTATGGTACAGCATTAATAGTAGAATTTTAACTAATCAAGAAACATTTAGCATCCTCGAAGGCAAATTCACTTCATCATTAGTGTTTCAGAAAAGTTCAATCAACGAAGAAACATTTCAAACATATTAATTCCCAAACCACTGGTTGTGGTATAATGGATTTGCTCATTTTATACAAGTAAAAATCCAAACTCGCCATACTATTTATGTGAAATTTCTACAACAAAATTAGTTATTGGTCCTCTACAACAAAAATGCAACTATTCTGCATTGACACTGAGACACCTACCAACAAAATTAGTAATTATTTTAAGCATATTGTTACCAGTAGAAGCCTCACATACTTGCCAACTTACTAAATTTAAGTTTGAGGACGATTATTTTGATCTATAGTACGGAAGTTGAAATTCGTTCGAGAAATGCACTAAATCCCGATCACGAAGCCAGGAAAAAAATAAAAGGCCGTTCAATTCAGATTTAAAACTAAAACACATTCTCGAACAAATAAAAAGCTAAATCAATTAATAGATCCACGTATATCATACCTGTATAATCCTCATTCTTGGAAACAACCCATCGCCCGTCAAATGCATCGTCAAACGAGTCATAAAATTTCTGTAAATAGCAAATAATTGAAAAATTCCATTCAGTATCTCATAAAAAGCACAGATCCAGAAAATCGTAAACGAACTAAATCAGATCCCTTGCTATTGCAGCTGCGGAACTATACTCAATTTCAAGAAGCAATTTTTTAGGTATTCAGCCAAATTACAATTTTACAAATAAAACAGCGTCTTACCACATCGTCAGAAGCGCAGAGCTGAGAAATGCATGAACCGATCAACAAAAGTAAGACACACTGCACAGTCCAAATCTTTCGTTTCGAATCCTCCATTCTGTTGACCTATAAATTTTCGGCTCTCAAATCGGAGAAAAATTCTCACGAAAACTCGAAACAAGGAAAGAAATGCAGAATTTTATCTATCGATCGATTTGAGAGTGTATCAAGGAGACGAAGAAGTCACTAGAACCTAAAGAGTGATAATTAGCTATGTATATACGATTGTATATAAAGATCTGGGAAACTGTGGCGTCGAGTTGCTTGAGCCAATAAAATTTGATTCCACGTAAAGTTGGCCAATAGGAGTTTGCCACGTCAATTTGATTACAAGTTTAGGAAGGGGCTGGAGAGCAGTGAAAGGTCCAGGGTTTTTTCATTGATCCGACTTGCGGGTTGACCCGTTTACTTTGACTCGATACAAATTCGAAAATTGCAGAATAAATAAGATTTATTTTTATTTTTTTGGAAGAAAAATATGTTGTAGGCAAGTTTGTTCTTTTTACACAACACAAGTTGTTTAGTATTGAATAGTATAGCGTCTTTTAAGTGCGTGTTAATTGTGTGTGGTGTAGGGACTTTCTTAATATTCAATGACTGATCCAAAATTGTTAGTGAGTTAGATGATAGTTGACCGTCGATGATTTTAATAGCTAGATCGTTTATTAATATTTAATTAAATAATAATAAAATTCTACAATCAATATATAAATGCACTAAAATGCATAAATCATATACATATGAACATATAATTCAATACAACTTGAAATAATAATAATAAAAATACATGCATTATAAATTATAAATTTCACAAATTTTATAATCCAATTTTCCAATTTATAAATCATAATCCAATTTCCACAAATTCCCAAATTTTCATAATCTAACTCCCCAAATTATAAAACATAGGTACAATTCCCCAGTTTATCGCAAATCAAATATTCAGAAACTCACAAATTCACCAAATTTTATAAATCTTCAAATTCCCATACTAAATTACCAATCAAACTATCAATTCTATAAAATAGCAATTCAAGACTTCAAATTCTAAATGAAAATGGCATCAAAAGAACTTAAAGGGAGAGAGGAGAGGCTCAAAGTCATTATGTCACAATCAACGACGAAGGCTCGGCATCGACCGCAAGAAGTGACGAAGGCTCATTCACCTCTCATCTCCTTCCAGGCTTCATGAGTGACAATTGGCAAGTGACGAGCTATTCCAACCAACAATCTATAAATTTCAGTAGAGCCAACACTGGCTACTGTACCTCACCAGGTGCTAACTCTAGCACTGCTAACATTGATGATTGTAAATAATATGTAAACTCCATTCTTACCGAGTACACAAGATATGGAAAGGTCAATAGGACTTTGCCACGTCTATTTGATCCAAGCTTATGACGGAGAGAAACAAAAGGTCCAAAATTTTATTGATCCGACTTGAGGATTGATTGATGTTCTTTTTCGAAGAAAAATATGTTATCTGAAAATTTGTTAACTTCGCAAAACACAAGTTGTTTAGTATTGAATGGTGTAACGTTTTTTAAGTTCTTGATATTTTATGGAGCAACTTGATTGTAGATAATATTCACAAGTTTGTAGAAGTCCTAAAATCCATTCGTATGCACAAGAAATGGAAAATTTATGAGCCAATTGTAATGTAAGATTAGACATTTGACATTCCTAGTAATTTGTATAAGATATTTTACTTTGCACATCACATTGAGCATAGGTGACTTATTCCTCCATAAACAATACAAAATCGTCTGCTGGTGTTGACACATAAAAATTCGGCCCAAATCGAACGGCCCAAGGAACGAAGCCCAATGGGAGGATCCCCAAATCAAATAGCCTAAAGAATGAAGCCCAATCAGACAATTCAGGATGAAGGCCCAAATAGGGAAGCCAAGGAACGCGGTAACACCATCGCCCAAGCTTGCAAATCGCCCAGGATCTAAGCGAATGGAGTGCCATGCAGTCGCCCAGAACTGCTACTCTATTCTCGCCCAAACCTTCGAGTCGCCCAAGGTCTTAGCAAACATGAAGTGTTGTAGTTATCAAGAAGCGCAGTTATCAAAGCAGTTATTAAGCAGCCCTATCAAGTTCCACGATTCAAGGAATTCAATCGAAAACGGTTGAACGACGAAGAGTAATGGCAGCATTTAAAAAAGGGCAGTTCCATGACAAGTTGGCCATTACGAGGAAAGTGGGCAGTTATAGAACGATCAAGCAGTTTTTAGGCGGTTGATCACAAAGAGATCACCCAGGGAGTATAAAAGGAAGAAAAGACATAGAGCAAAAGGACCCGAATAAAAAAACTCTCGAACAGAGAACATGTAATTTTAAATTTCTTTGTTTAGATTTAAACACTTTTTTCAGTAACTCGTGTGCTTGCGCCCCTTGGAGGCATTCTGTTTTTACTTTCCGATTGTAAAGACATCACCAATAAAGAACACCCCTTTTTGGGACTTTGTCTCAAGAGGTTTGTCCCTTACACAATCGTCTGATTCCTTTTAATTGTTAGCGACGAACACGGGCGAAACAATTTGACACGCCCAGTGGGACAGTGGTGTTTGGTGTTGAAAATACAAAAGGTGAAACAATATGCCTCAGAGATCCGATAAGGAAGCAGCAAGTCAGGGAGGAGTCCAGTCTGTGATTGAGCGATATGAGGAGCAGCATGCCTCTCCACGAACAGATGGACCAAATCAGAGTAGTAACAGTCGTTACGAACCAATGACAGAGTTGAGTTCTCGAACTATGCGTGCACTACTTGGAGAACTCACACAAGATGTCGTTGAACAGATAAATCTTTGAAGTATTCATAATATGGAAAGATTTATCCAAAATGGGAATGCACATTATGACAACATGGCTAAACAACTAAACACTTTGAACGAAATAATGAATAAGTTAGTAGGCCAAATATGTCAACCGGTTATACCTCTTGCAAATCACTTTCAAACTAGGACAATTGTGGGACATAATCTCTCAGCCCTAAATCCGAATCAAGGGATAGAACCACTTTCTGGTTCCTCTACTTCAAACCAAGGGGGTGGTGCAGTGCCAAATCAGAACAATGGTAGTGGTGCGCCTAACTTGGGGATAATCCAAATGTAAGAGATAATGTCCTAAACAATGGACGGAATACCCCACGTGTTAATGAGGGAATAGATGTTCAGGCTAATGGTAATGGCTCTAATCATGGTAACTTTGTTGCCAATCAAGGACCAAACATCAGGCCTCATGCAAATCAACCGGTTAACCAACCTGTAGGAATTCCATATGACCCCAACGTTATGTTGAGGAATCAGATTATGGAAATCGTACAGGATCAGATGGCTTTTGGGGTGCGTCCTGTCATTAGGCCGACTTACACAAAGCCATATCTTGATTGGGTAGACCAAGCATATCCATGGCCTAGAGAGTATAAAGTGCCAGAATTCTCACTGTTTACCGATTTAGGAGAGGTGTCTACTCTAGAACACATAGGACGATTCACATTGTAAAGTGGTGATGTAACTGATTATCATAAAATGAGGCTTTTCCCTAGTTCATTAACAGGAGCAGCTTTCTCCTGATTCATCAACTTGCCAGCGAACTCTGTTCAAACATGACAACAATTGGAACAATTATTCTACGCTCAGTTTTATAAAACTGAGTCTGAAATCAGTTTGGCTGATTTGGCGAATCTACGTTAAATGCCAAACGAATGGGCAGAAAGTTTTCTCCAAAAGTTCAAGACAGCAAGAAGCAAGTGTTTTGTACCTCTGCCCGAAAAAAAATTTGTCAAAATCGCTCAGGACTGTTTGAGCTTTGATTTAAAAAACAAATTCCAAGACAAGGGATTTCCTGACCTTTTGCAATTGAGTGCGAATATGATTAGGTATGAACGACTGATAAGAGAAGAAGAGCAGATGAAAAATTTCAGTAAAGGGACTTATTACAGAGACCCAAATTTTGACGTTCATACCATCAGCGACGAGTCATACGATCAAGCCGAAATGTGTTTGGCCGAATTGGTCAAAGGAGACACGTATACTTGTCCTATAATGGCTAAACCTAGACCATCGGGCACAGATGAGCCCATGAAAGATGGAAACATAAAGGTTAGAACATTCTCGTTCGATGTAACCAAAGCTAACCTTATATTTGATAAATTATATAGGGATAAACAGATAAAGCTGAGCGATAAGTATAAATTGCCAAACCCTGAACAAATTAAGGGTAAAAAATATTGTAAGTGGCATAATGCATGGTCACATTTGACTAACAATTGCTTGGTTTTTCACCATGTATTGCAGGATGACATTGAATCAGGACGAATTACGTTCGACAATAAGAAGAAGATGGCAGTGGATGAAAATCCTTTTCCACAGCCACTTGGAGTGAACATGGTGACGTCTGGTTTCAAAAACAAGTTGCCAAAATTCAAGTTGTCATAGATGATGGAGAAGAGGACCCTGGATCACATCCCAGTGTCTTTGAACGAATCAAGGGGAAAGAGCCAAAAAAGGACGAAAACGTCCTGTGTGCAAGATGTAAAAGAGAAGTGAGTGGGAACACGGAGAAACCAGGGATATGGCAGCATCCCCATCGCTCTACTTTCTTCCCAAACACTCAGCCTGGTAGAGGGCGAGGTACATCATTCTATAGAGGATCGCCTTTTGAGAGGCAGTTCAGGCCAGTAGATAATGGGAGAATATTTAGGCCGCAACCTCGCCGGCCAAGTGTATGGCATTCGTTCCAGTATAATGCAGGAAGGGCAATACCCTTCGATGAGATGACTAGAACCCAACAAAGGCATTTCCAACGAAACTATGGACGAATGATGAGGCAGCAACAGGGAGTGCCACATCCTAAAGCGCCTAAACTACTCAAGGTAGCCAATCAAAATGTTCTCAAAGATAGTAAAGAGACCGGTACAGATGAATCAATGAAAGAATTGCCAGAAACTTCTTCTGGGAGATCAAAGTTTGAGCGAGACAGAAGGGATGGAGAAGATCCAGATCAGCCCCTTACTATCCAGTTTGGTACGTTACCTCCTGCCGTGGCTAATAATTACTTACTGACCAATGAATTCAAGAATAAAGAAAAAGAAGAAGAAGAAAGGGAGGACAACGAAGGAGAGGCTTGCGTGCTGGAATGTGAAAAAGGCCAGACTTCTAGAGAGGCCTACAATGATGAAGAAGATAATGGGATGACAGACATCGAAGAAGAAAT